CTTGACACATTGTTAAATCTAACACATTTTCACAACTTATACAATTTCACATCTAACACACTCTCACACTTGACACATTGTTAAATCTAACACATTTTCACAACTTATACAATTTCACATCTAACACACTGTCACACCAACACAATTAGCACACTCTCGCACTTAACACACTGTTACATCTAAGACAATTTCACAACTAACACAATGTCACAACTATCACACTGTCACACCAAACTCGATGTTGATCACCTGGTATGTCTGGAACTATAGGACTTCCTCCTGTAGCAATGAGAATGTGGTCAGCGGAATATTTCTGACCGTTTACTTCAATACATTTATCATCAGTGACTGTTGCATGGCCAAAGATTCTTTCAACTTTGCTCTGGAGAAGAGGAAAGTTCCACATTGTGAATGGAAAATTGTTTGCTTGTTTGTCCCTTGACTGTTTCTCTGGTTTGTTGTTTGGTTGGATGGTTGGTTGGTTATGTATTTTCTTAGATATTAAAATATATATCCTAGGTATATGTATTTCAGAACGGGGATTTATTTATCATTTGTTTTTCTTGAATAAAATTGGACCTACAGTAACAAAACCAATATATCATATAGCATGGATAAAGACATCTTAAGTTTATGAATTAAGAATGCTATATTAAGGTCATACCAACATATTTTCTTCATAGATCTTATTCAACCTTTTGATATAGTTGTCTCTGGACTTCTTGATTATACTGAAAAATAACAAACTTGTTTTATTATAAAATCAGAACCCACCAAACTATTCCTTATTTGAATGGTTAAAGGGATAATAACTCTTCGTATGAGATCTATATTTCATAATAAAAACCTTGTGAATAACTCATAGAAATATAATATATTCTGTTTTACAACAAAAACAGCAGTTATAGCTTTTATTCTGACATCTGAACTTGTCTTTAGACCACGTGACCTCCATTGATGTCTATACTCTGTTAAAATCTCTTAAGAGATTTTAACAAAAAACCAAACTTTTTAGAAAAAAACCAGGGACTAACTTTGAATGTAAAAATGGATTCATTTAACCATTGTTAAGTGTGGGAAAATTGCTGTTTACTCCAGGAAAATTCATTTTTTGGCCGAAACGAAGAGTTATTATTGCTTTAACATTTATCTACTCTGAAAGACACACAATGAATTGTAAATATTTTATTTAACGAAATCTCATTTCCCTGGAAAATTTTTTTTGTACGTTATATTATATATTTTAGCTCTAAGTTTCTCCTTTTTTATTCACTCAGGCTTATAATGGTGATACTGGTAGATGCTGCTGAATTTGATTTGTGATATGGTAAAAAGAAGAAATTTAGAACTCTAAAAGATAAAAAATTTTCTAAACAATTTGACATAGTATTCCAAGTGATAAAGGAAAATTGCTGAAATTTCCAAGTAAATTTAGTAAACTCTACAATAATTATCATCATAATCATCAACATCATCATAATCATCATCATTATTATTATTATAAGTTACGTGTTAGTTTTATGCCCAATTGTGCTTTTAAGGATGTCTTCTCAATAAAACAATTATACAAAGTAGGTCGACCTAACTCTGCAGGGACTCTAGCTGAATGCAAATATGACTCTTTTTCCCATTGCACCCATACTGGTACTAACTAGTATTTATATCACCAGCTTTCTGCATTCTACTCAACACCAGGAGGAGTGAATTCAGCAAGAGTCCCTACAGAGTTATAGAACAAACTTCCTAATGCCAGGCCTACCCAACTACCAGACTCAGCACCGAATGATCCACAATTCACCGGTAGATCAGACCACACCACCCGTTTTCAAGGTGTGTGTCAGATCGCATTACACAGTATCATACCCTGAACAAATTTTGAGTGGTGATGCAATGCTTTTCAACCCCGCTGAGAATCGTCACTATCACATTGCCTCCTAGGCAAGAGCGGTGTCGCGTCTGATACTATGTAATGCGATCTGACACACACCTTGAAAACGGGTGGTGTGGTCTGATCTACCGGTGAATTCTGGATCATTCGGTGCCGAGTCTGGTAGTTGGGTAGGCCTGAATGCGATAGTTTCATTGTCAATGCACCATGGGATCTTCTGACTAACCTCCAGTCAAATGCCTTCCTCTCAACGTCAAAACCATAGTCCTTGTAGTCAGGGAGGTGTTCAGCATGGCTAGCTGCCATGAACATCACTTTCTTGGGAACGCAGCCCACATTTACCTGTGTTAACAAGACAAGGAGTCACAACATGTGCTGTTGTCTAATATTTTGTACTATTGTTGATTCATTTAATTGTCTTAAATTTAATTTTTCAGATTTCCCTTTCTTTGTGGAAAGCTGCACTAATTAATGTGCCATCATTACAAGAAAATAGAATCAACAGCCAGTTGAAGACACACTACATGCTTTAATTAACTCACAGTGGTTACCCAATTATGTGATTTACATATATATATATATGTACTGTTTGACTGGCTTTACACACACACACACACACACACACACACACACACACACACTAATACTGTTCCTCACAGTTTAAAATTCAATAGAGCACTAATATACAGTACATTTGACAGTACGTCACACCGTACAGGTCATGTCCCTAACTGTCTGACAGTTACAAAAAAAAAAAAAAAAACGTAAAATCCTAATTCATGTACACCAAAATCTTGTCAATTTCCAAGCTGCAAATTATCCCTCCTGACTAATACATAATGAGTCTATCAAGGCACACAGCAGCTAGCACAACACCCTAGGAACCGGAATCCGATCCCAGGCCTACTAGTACATACATGCCAGCTATAAGGGTCATTTGGGGTCGTTGCATGTAGGTACACGTGTTTAAAGGGATGACAAATTTTCACTTTGGTAGGAAAAGTGCCATTTACCTGGCGTTAAGAGACAATTTTCCATACTTCCAATGAATAATGAATCTCTTCCGACATTCAAAGTAGTTAGTTTTTTTAAGTGTGGTTTTTGTGATAATATCTTAGATTATTACAGAGGGCAGCCATCTGCAAAGATCCGATCAGCTTAATTGTCTGGCATAGCTCCTTAAAGGGATAATAACTCTTCGTTTCGGCCCAAAAATGAATTTTCCTGTAGTAAACAACAATTTTCCCATACTTACCAATGGTTAATGAATCCATTTTTACATTCAAAGTTAGTCCCTGGTTTTTTTCTAAAAAGTTTGGTTTTTTGTTAAAATCTCTTAAGAGATTTTAACAGAGTATAGCCATCAATGGAGGTCACATGGTCTAAAGAGAAGCTCAGATATCAGAATAATAGCTATAATTGCCATTTTTGTGGTAAAACAGAATATATTATATTTCTATGAGTTATTCACAATGTTTTTATTGTGAAATTTAGATCTCATACAAAGATTTATTATCCCTTTAAGCAGCTGGGGGTAATTACCCCTGCCGAGGAGGTTATGTTTTCACCCCTGTTTGTCTGTTTGTTTGTTTGTCTGTTTGTTTGTTTGTCTGTCATCAACATAACTCAAAAAGGTATGGGACGATTTTGATGAAATTTTCAGGAACTGTCAGAAGTCGGCCAAGGGAGAGATGATTAGTTTTTGGTGGTGATCTGGATCAATAATCAATCAATAATCAATAATAATCAAAAATCGCTGCCTTGGCGAGTGATTTCTAGTTTACAACATATATCCCACTGTTTAAAAAGTAAAAGTAATGTTTTCTTCTTATATACCACACTACAGCAAAGTTTACAGATGCCTGGTCATTTTTTGCCCTGACATATTGTAGGTGTTAAAATTGTTTAAATTGTACAAGTCATAAAAAGCATTTTTTTTTTTACTCAATCCAGTCTTTTTCTTTATATGGCATTTTGTTTCATGTTTAATATGTACAGTGTTAAGGTGCTAATCTGTAGTGCAGTATATACAGAGTGATCTAATTGCTGCATTAAAGATAAGTTTTGGAATCTGTGAAGCAGCTAGCTAGAACAAGTTGCCAGAGCACTCCCACAACATATTGTGAGAGTACTCCCGCAACCCTTGCCGGAAGAATATTTTGTCAGTAAGGTTTCTGTGTGCTGATTTAAAGCGGATTCCACTGATTGCACCCAAACCAAATATAGAGGTGTATTTCACATGCTGAATTATCAATAGAAAAAAAAACATAATAATAATAATAATAATAATAATAATAATAATAATAATAATAAATGGAATAAATTCCAAGTTGTATTCAACTTTTTAGAACATATATATGTGTACAAAACAAAAATCCAAGGTTGTCTCAATTTTACGAAGGAGCCTATAAATGGTAACTAGTACTAGTATATTCTGGTAACGTATGATCTGGGCCATATAATTTTAATTTTTATATTGCGTTCCAATATATCTTGTAGTGAGTCAGTCATGGTAAATTATAATGGCCTCATTCAGAATAGAGGACTAACTAGTCCGAGGATCAAATATGGCCGACCCACTTGAATACTTCCCCATGGGATATCTATTCAGTGTCAATTAGTGGATTAGATGGCAAGCTTTGTATTGGGTAGCCATATTTGACCCTTGGACTAGTTAGTCCCCTATTCTTAGTGGGGCCTATGATGTATGGATGCTTTTGTAAATATTTAAACTGTAACGCAAGGGGTTTTGCATTATGGCTAACATATGTTCCCCAGAAAAATTGTCAGAAAGTTTCATCTTGCTGACTGAAAAAAAATCATATTGTGATTCCATGAAAGTTTGACATTTCCAATATAATATTTGGACCATAAATGGAAAATAGTTTATTTAATTCTTATTTTACTGTCAATTGGGTGTATTTAATAATATTCAGTAACAAGCACATTCAAGTCGCTCAAAAAAATTAACCGCTCTCTATACAGAAGATAATAATATTTTTTTACAACTTTATATACTTGTAAGAGATAAATTAAAAAACAAAACCAGTGACAATAGAATTTTCACAGTGAGTAAAACATTTACACAGCTGGACATTTTGCATTTGTGACATTAATGCATGTTCCTTTTTGGGGTAAGATGATGTGTTATTTTTTAATAATTCATGGTTGCAGGTGAGTGAAACTTTGATACAAACTTCTTCATGTGGATTCCTAAAACAATCAAACAAAGTTTGTAATCTGTGCACTAAACATTTTTAGAGCATACCTGTGACCTCATTCAGTGGCGGATTTGGGGGGGGGGGGGGGGGGGGGGCCACCCCCCCCCCCCCCCTTCAATTTTTGGCCCCCT